ATCCGTGAGAACGTTTCTCTTGAGGAGGGATGCTTTGAGCAACTCGTACGAGTTACTTACAACTGGACTCGACATCTGTAGAGTTACGCACTTGCTGAATTCCCGCGGTAGGGCATGAATAACTGCGAGGAACTGTGAACGTTGATCGGTTATCCCATGCTCACAAAAATCAGACTCGGCTATCTGAAACCACGTTTCAGCATTATCTGGCCAATATGGTACGAGCTGAATTGTTTTGGCGGTTGAGCGAATCCGAATAACCTTGGGGCTAGGATCACTCATGACGAAATGTATGCCGATTACAAAAGAGTACAAGAACAAACACAAAAAGGAACGAACTCACCGGGTTCATCTGCGTGTTTACTGAAGATGAAGTTCGTGGTTGGGCTCACCAGTTTGGTGGTTGAAGGTATCGACGTTCGCGAACTGTACGGAGTATACTAACGCAAGATCTTATACCAACGACTTCTATAGTGTTCGTTCTTCGAGTACCAAAGGCAAAGCAAAAGACCAAATTTAGTCGTCCAAAGTACGGTATATATTTCGGGACCAAATCGCGGGCTGAAGTGAATGCTTAGCTGGCTAGTGATCGTGCACGCACGTGACACGACAGAGTACCAAATGGCGGGGATGCTTGACCGGAAGCCTTCAGCTAAACAAGTCGACTTAAACAGTGAGGGTCAGCATCCAATGTTGAGTGATGATTGCTGTGGTCAGTAATTTTGGGGAATTATTTACCGCTACACTTTAAACAAATCATTTATCATGAAACAAATTAATATGGTTGTACCTGATGTACCTAGTCAAGATAATGGTCATTTTCCGGGTTTTAAAGAAAAGGATGTACTATTATGTTTGAAATCTTTAAATCCAACACACAGCCTTGGTCCAGATGGTGTACCAAGCATTCTTCTTCAAAAGTGTGCAGACATCTTGTGTCATCCTCTTACTCAAATCTTTAATGCATCATTTAACAGGGAAACGGTACCTGCTGACTGGAAAGAAATCAAGGTTGTACCTGTACAGAAATCATCTTCTGGAGCAGGTATAAAGTTTAGACCGGTCGCTATAACATCTCCTTTTTTGAAAACTATGGAGAAACTTCTTTTGAATATTCTTAAACCTTCTTTAAAAGCTTTTAGTGACCCTAAGCAGTTTGCTTATAAGTGTGGAAGAAGTACATTAGATGCAGCCATTGTACTACACCACAATATTGTTTCCTGCCTTGATAAGGGTGCTAAGTTCGTTCGAACAGCTTTTTTAGACTATACTGCAGCTTTCGACTCTGTTCCTAGGACACTTTTATTAGGAAAGATGATTTCAGCACAAACAGAGTCCTGGGCAACTAGATGGCTGTCTTCTTATTTTAAGGATAGGAAACAGCATACTGTTTTGGCTGGAAAGCGCTCCACTTCTCAGCTAACTGAAAGTGGTGTGCCTCAAGGTGCAGTACTTTCTCCATTTCTTTTCTCTTTCTTTTTGCATGACCTTCCGAACTCACCCAAAGTTAACTTCATTAAGTATGCTGATGATCTGACCGTTTCTGTCCCTGTAGTTTCCACATCGGATTGTTCCCATATGAATGGCTTCTTAGCTGAAGTTAAGGATTGGTCTGGCTCAAATGGTCTTAAACTAAATCCAACTAAATGTAATACTGTTGATTTCAGCTTGAGAAGTGAAAAAGACATGCATGGATTGATCCAATCTCATGATTGTTGTAATATTGATGGTACCATGATAGAGAGTAAGTCAAGTGTTTCTTATCTTGGCATTAGTTTCTCTTCAAACCTTTGCTGGTCGTCTCATATTCTTATAGTTTCTAAGAAAGTTTTCCGTCTGACTTATTACATAAAGAAGTTGAGGCACTCAGGTATAACCCAACCTCTTCTCATACAATTTATTAATTCATGTGTTTTGCCCATCATTCTTTATTGTTCTCCATTATTCTTCCCTGGGCTACTCAAGAAAGACCATATAATACTACGAAGAACATTGAAGGCTGTAAGTAGGGTCAGTGCTATCCCTTTGACTCAACTAACTGACACTGTTGTCAATAGGCATATGAATTCTTGTAAACACTTAGCTAAAGTTATCTTGTCTGATAGTGAACATCCTCTTTATTCACAATTGTTTCCTTGTATCTCTTCGGGTAAGACCAGAAGAAATTTCATAAACATTTATGCTCGTACTACAAAATATAAAAATTCGACCGTACCATATTTGGCACGAGTATTGTGTGAAGAGACAAATATCAGAAAAGAACTTTTACAACTTTTAAATCATTAACTAAACTATAAAATGTAATGATGCATATTAATGCATGTGTTATTTGTTATATTATTTATTTATTATTCACTATGACCTAGCAATGGTGTGATTTTGTTGGGGTTTTATTTTTTCCTATTAACTATCAATATTTTAACATTTTATACATTTATATAATTATAAACAGAGCTAAACCATTGCAATATGTAAAAGAAACGCTGAAAATTCCATGCTGTAAATTGTTATTGTTGTGGAATAAAGTGATTATTATTATTAACGGTATTATTTTGAATTAGGCGCACACTTGTAACTACTATAGTTGCGGCAATTTATTATCTTTATTAGTATTCATCAACAAATGTATAGACTTTTTCAAAACCTAATATTAACTTATATCATATATACCACAGCGCTTGGCAAATCGATTCACATAGTTTCAGTTATTGCACTCGTGTCGGTCAATTTCAGTTTTCTAGGATGTCAAGGAGGCCTTGAATAAGCCGGTTGTAGAGTTTCTGACTTGAGCACTGAATGACGTAAGTTCACATCCTGTAGGGAATATGAATTCCTATATGGTTGGTTTGCTGATTTTACCTCCAACAAACATGAAAGCTAAGTTCCTCAGGTCTATTTGATAATTAGTTCATATTATTAAGTGGAAAAAGAGGTGTTTTGACTGTTCATCAGTGGTTCTGTTCTAGGAATAGAAGAAGTGTCGTCTCTTATCGAAAACAGTTAGTATCGTCATCGTTTTGAATTTGTGAATAGTGTGATGATGTCTGGCTAGATAGCTTCATAAGCCTATTGCCTTCTATTGTAAGAATATATTTATATGAGGAAGTAGAATTGTCATTATGCATTTCCAATTTCTGGCTGGTTGTGACTAACCTGTTGTATTGGTAAGTTTGAAATTAGAACAATACTTAGTGGGTTTTGAACTACGTTTAATTGTTTATTTAATCATCTAACTGGACTATCTAAATTTTTGTTGTTTACCTTTGATTAGTACATTAATTAATGTTTTGCTTGTGCTTTCCCTGTTGTTTACGAAGTGGGTGGGTTCAGTAACCATTTAACTGTAATCTGGAATAAATAGGGAATCACATTCACCAGCGGTTACCCACTTTTCCAGCTTTCAGTAATTGAGGAACTTTGCAAAACAGTAGATTGTACAATATTCTTCCTAGGTGTCCAGTTTTCAATGACGAACAGATGGAAATCTACAAAGATCAATCTAGCGTAAGTCAAATTGGAATGAACATAGTTTTGTCCCAATAAGCAGAAGAAGAAATCTCATCGCCTCTCTTGCAAAGAGAATCTTCCGCATATCCGCTAAAGATATATTGATTAAGGAATCAGTATCCTTCAGAAAAACTCCGGTCAGAAATGGATATCTAACCTCCTTCATCCCTTAAACATCCGCGAAATGTGGATGTGCTGGAGAAAAAAGTCATTGTAAATGTGAAATTCCGTGAAGGCGTTTATCGAGAGTAATTTGAAGGGCATTGTTTACTGCATCTCTACGCCTCACCTTCTCTACACATGCTCTTGTTCATCAAAGCGTCAAAGACAAAAACCTACTGTTGACACCTTCAACATGCATTTATCGATTCGCTTACTCCTGTGGAGCTAAGTAAATAGGTCGTACTAGTAGGATATCGTCTAGACGCACCCATGAACACTTACTAGCATGGTCGTCGAAAGGAGAGCGTAGAAATTTCAACATCTCAATTTTGGAGCATATTATTACTTCAGGTCATGCAGTATCAGCAGACTTCATTCAAAGTCATATACAAAGCACAACCAAGCCGTTCGAAAGGATTTTGTTTGCATCATCATGCTGCCGAATGTTTAGCAATCCATAAGGATAACGCGAAACTTCTGTTCAGTAACGTTTTATTCACACTGTTTTACTACCATAGTCTTAGTGTCAATTATATTTTCTTGAATTGGTGCTTAATAAAATCTGTGTAGCCTTTATTTTTATAACCCATTTTTAATTCTTTTTCCTCTTATGTCCCATCAACTATTTCCAAATGATTATCCGTCACTTAACTAATTAGTTGTCAGCCCTCTCCACCACATGAAACTACTTACTGTTTTTCACATATTGTTCCTTTCATGTGCTTTGATTTATTTTGTTACCAACTGAAAATAACCTCTGACCTTTGTTGTCAATTATCATTGTATATATGATCCCCTCAAACAACTGTTCAGCTTTGGAGTAAAGTTATGAAAAGGCATCTCTTCACTGACGTAAGTGTTCTTAAAACAGTAATATTAGCAATCAAAAAGGCAGAGTAGGACTAATGTCTGCATAATCATCAGTGGGTCACACGCAAAAGTAATGCAATTTTTGTAAGGAAAAAAGATTAACATAAATGTCTGCTTTCACATTCACATCAGTATACATTAATAAGGGCGTATGACTACTGACAAGTGATTACTCAGATTGACTGAATTGAAACATGGTTGCTGTGTTTTATTTGATTCACTGTACCGTAGATGAACCTGAGCTGTTGATTGGTATCATATATTTGCATTTGAGTGATACATACTAGTTCTTTAGTGAACACAGGAAATAAGTGCTCATAAAGTCACTTGGTCTATGGATGATTTGATAACTCGGGGACACACATAATTTTCTGTATTCATGTGGTTGCTATTAAACAAAGAGTAAAGTTGACTACTATATTTTTAAAATTTTTTACCTTTTTGGAATTTTTTCACTGTAGGTATCATCCGGTTCTTTACATGGAGATAGAAAGTCATGTACTGACCCTCTACCTACATGTCCGAACATATGTGGACGGCGCCAGCTAGTGTGTGATCACCCTTGCCCTGAATATTGTCATGTTGGTTCTTGTCCACCCTGTAAATTGTCAATTTCTTTAAAATGCCGTTGTGGACATACTTCTAAGACACTAACGTGTGATGAATTCTCTAAACTAACCGAAACACAAGATGGTAAATTTCACTTTTCGTTACCTCTGGTACTATATTTTTCGTAGTGAGACCATCTCACATATTTTTGTGATGCTTTATTTCTAAACATTCTGTTATTATTTTTCACTCAATATGCTTATAATGAACTTGAATAACTTTATTTATCACACTGTCATATTCACACATTTTATCAAGTTCATGCTTTTAATTAGTAGATGAATATATATATTGATTCAATAGGTTTCTAGCCCGGTGCTCTACCGACGTTTAGATATGAGACAGGTTTTGGATAAGATTTTATTTTGATAAATCACACAGTGTTATACAGTTATATTAACTGGTGACGTTTCGAGCACAAACATAGCAACTTGATATGATAATGAGAAATAGTTTGTGCTCGAAACGTCATCAGTTAATATTACTATATAACGCTGTGTGATTTATCAAAATAAAATCTTATCCATAATGCAGTTATGCTCTACCACAGTGCCCAAGTTTTATACTTATATGAGACACGTTTATATATTATATATATATATGAATAGCTGCATTGAGTTATAACAGTGCATATTAAGACCTTTACCCCAAAGTATCCAAGAAAAGGAAGTGACGTGCATCATGAGCTCTGTTTTATTACTGTTTAAATGGTGCTAGCTACATAATGGATAAGAACTTTACAACATACCTAATCTACTATAACGTCTAGTGCGAATTCACCGTTTTAAAAATGTCTGACGCAACTGTGACCGATAAGAGAATCATAGAGGTTCGTGTTCAACATAGGCTAAAATACCGTCACTTGTGTGTTTCGTTATTTTATTTTAAGATGACTTATTGAATGAACTGTCTTCTTTGCTGTATAAATTCCAATCTTGTATTAAATTTATTTTGCAGAAGTACTATGTAGGTCGATGTTATAAAATGAATAACTCCCGTTAAACTCTTATTTGTTCTTCTGGATTATTATTACTATAGAGGGATTTCAAGGGAAGCTTCCTAAAGTTTTTAGCTAAAGATATTGTAGTAAAATGAGACAATCCTTTCATAAAGTTGTCTGCGTATATATTGCTGAAAAATTAACTCAACAATTCGATGAATTTGAAATTCCATTCAAACTTTTAGGTATATCAGAACTCATATGCGAACGGATGTGTAAAAGGAGACTAACTTGTGGTCGGCATAAATGTAAAGCTAAGTGTTGCAATGTAAGTCCCAAGATGGTTTTATGTATTAGACCTATTATTTAACAAGTATTCATTACAAAAACAATCTGTGTTATTTTCTATATAATTGGTTAAAGTGTATAGTTCTACCTTGTAAAAAAAATTCAATCTCAGGCTCGTTTATACACTTTCACTCTTTTTAAACTAAAAGTGTGGCTGCAGCAACTGAATAGCTTAGCGGTTTACAATATATTCCACGGTTTGTGAACATGAACACTGTTGCCCGAATATTCCTCACTAAACAGCTGTTTAATTGAATTAGCTTCTTTTTATAGTATCGTATAGTTTTATCATTTATTCAGTAGAGTAATATTGTGGTGAGAGCTGTCTACTAGCCAAATTGGTAGACAGTAATTTACATCGATGTTTACGTTCTCAAGATTTGACGTGAGAAAATATGAACAAAGACTGATTCAAAACCGACCACAGCAGACTTTGCGTAGGCGGATACAGTTAAAATATAGATGATGTGACATTCACGAAACAGTCACAAAGAGATGAAAGATTAACTTTAAGTGAAAAGCAACCAATCAGAAGACTGTGTTTGTTTGCTTGACTAATCTATAATAATGTGCATGAAAATATATAAATATGCTTTGATTTCCTTAATAAACGATCTGTTGCCTGACCCTCGTCTTCTTTTGTTACAATATGGATATAATAAGTTCTGTCTCTCATAATTTCTTTGTTTCTTTTGAAAAACAAGTTTTGTTTTCCCACTGGATTATTGTTATCTTGCGTCATATTCGAGATAACTTTTCATTATTATTCTTCGAGTCTACCAGTTTTTTTTTCTTTTATTATTCCGACAATACTGGTTTAGTACAAATTACAAATTATTGTTTGCTATTTTAGGTTCACAGAGTTTTCTACGCAGGTGACTTGGTTTTTAGCATTTAAAGCTAAGTTTGTTTTGTATAACGGTAGAACACAGAGGCCCCTGGTAGCAGCCTAGATTATTTGGCAATCAAAGTGATGGCGAAATATATTAAAAATCTTATAATGAAACTTCTGTTTGCAAAGGTTATTTGTATTCTGCCTCTTCTGTCTACATGTCATGCCTTCCATCATGTTTGACCTCGCCTAGTGTATTAATCTGTCATAAGCCCGAAAAGACGGAAGGTTGTATGGTAAGGGGCTGGTGTCCCTACCTCGGAGAATCGCTCCCATCGCTACAGAAAAATACTTGAAACATATTTTTTCCACAAGGATCTTCATTTCTCCTCTCTAAAACCTAATCCGTCACTCCGCGATTCAAGTTTCTCCCCCTAGAATATGCGACCGGCATACTACTTACAAATCCTTATCAGCAGTATGCATCACACTTATACCACATTCATCTAGCATAAATTCTGTCTCATGGGTTTGTTTAAGTGAATCTATGGCTAAGTACTACTGTGCAGTATTACTGCTATATTTTGGATAAACTTCATTATATGACAAACCTTTGTAAAATGTTTGTGTTACATTTTTTGTTCCGTTAATTTTTTTTCTTTTGTCTACGATAGGATACTGTGCATTCATGTTCCGAAGTTTGTGGTCATCGACTGTCTTGTCAAATACACTATTGTGAAGATCAGTGTCATTCAGGTCCATGTAATTCTTGTTGGCGGGGTGTAATTTATTCAGAATTAGTATGTCGTTGTGGTTATACAGTACTACATCCTCCACAACCATGCGGAACTACTGCACCTGAATGTAATCAACCTTGTAATCGTACGCATAACTGTGATCATCCAGTTAGACACACATGCCATAATGAGCCTACCTGTCCACCTTGTACCATTTTAGTGACCAAAGATTGTCCAGGAGGTAAGTGGATTTGTTAATGCATATTTTGATTATGCTCTACGCGATGACATTGAAAGCAAGCGGCATAGATACTTGAAGTTTTTGTACCTTTTTTACTGATACTTTTTGAGTTTAGCTAAGGGATTTATGCAATAAATACATACATACTGTGACCTCAGTTCTTTCAGTTATAGTAATCACTTGGGTAGCGCAACTTACCTGATATAAGCATCGAATGCACTTATCTTACTGGGACACTATGATCGAACATGCAGGTCTGCTTAGCGTCTTTAACTTGAAAAACCTTAGTTTGGCATAAGTGCAGACACTGAAATGTTGTAGATATAACCTTTGACGGAAGAACTTACAGCACCACCGTATCTCATTATCGGTGAAGTAAATGCAACTATAATTCCAAATGTTTATTCGCATATGTTATGTATGTGAATATGAGGACCTTGTAGACTACGACCGAATCTAACTAATGCTCTGGCTAATTCTGTCCTAATCGCACGTCAACAACAACAACAATAATACCGCCGGGCACGCAAGACAAATAAAAGAGAAGACTGGACGTTGATATGAGAGCTTTTACTGTCTCAAACAACAGTCGAAAATGTTAAACAACAACTCCGTATTTACACAATTAGAAAAATCAATGTCACATTTTAAAAATATTAACAAACCCTGGGAATTCAGTAATTTAAATCAATAATCACGCAGATGCGTGAAAACAATGATTATGCTAGTGTGTGAAATAAATAATGAATATTAATGATTCACCTGCGTATATATATTACCTCCCCCTTTTAAAAGGAATCTCGCAAACAGTTTAGTATCTTTTTTCCTTGGGGTCGATTTGGAAATGAACTGTTTGTGTTCGTTTGCGATGGGATCGTCGGCTGGATAGCATCTCTTGTTTTGCTTCTGGTTTGACTGGTGGTATTTTGAAAGTTTCCAGTAGTAATTCCAGTGGCAATTTAGGTTCTTGGGATGTAGTATATCGACGTCGCATCTGATTTTTATGTCTAATCCACCATTCATCCCCAACTTTAACCTTGTACATTAGAGTTCCATGTCGACATTCTATCAAGCCTTCGGCCCATTTTCTGTTCCTCGGTCGATAATCGCGCACATAGACGGCATCACTCTTGCGGTAATACTTCAGACTATTTCTTCGTTGATGTGCCGAAGATGGTAACATGGAGTGGTGATGAGTTCGTAGCATTCGACCCATTAGAAGTTCTGCAGGGCTTTTCTTCTGTTCTGTCAGTGGTGTAGTTCGGTATACAAAAAGAAAGTTTTGTATTGCTTCCGGTTTCGCCCCTCCCCCTGCTTTCAACAACGCTCGTTTGAAGGTGTCGACAAATCTTTCTGCCTGACCGTTGGATTGAGGGTGATAAGGTGGCGTCCGCACGTGTTGTATACCGTTTCTCTTGCAAAATTCCTGGAACACTTGTGAGGTGAACTGACTGCCATTGTCAGATACGATGATTTCTGGTATACCGTGACATGCGAAGATCTTTTCCAGGACTGATACTGTTCTGCTGCTAGAAGGTGGTGTCACTTGTACTACCTCCGGCCACTTTGAGTAAGAGTCCACGAGAACCAAGTAGTATATACCTTCTATCGGCCCAGCAAAATCCACATGTAGGCGGGACCACGGTTTTGACGTGGGCCATGCTCTTGGTGGCGGATCTTTGGCTGCCATGACCGACATCACTTTCAGTTTTTGAGCAGAGCTTCTCTTACTGGAGCTAACAGTTGCTACTTTGTTGCTACCAGACATCGAAGCACTTTTGGCGCAGCCATACTCACTGTGACGATTCGAAGTTGGTTTTTCATTAATCACGTCATTCTTTCTAATGGGCTTAGGTTTAATATATCTGTCTCTGATTTCTGGCTTTCTTGTTGAGGGTTCAATACTTTCGACCTTATTGCATACACTGCTTAACGGAATTTCTGACAGGTGCAGCTTCTCGAACCAGTCTAAACCCAAGAGGTCAAGGTTTGAATTATTGATGTAGCATGTGCCGACGAAATGATTATCGCGAAAATCAACGCTGCATTTTATTCCTCCATTCAATCGAAGTCTTCCACCACATGCACTAATTGCTATCTGATTTGTCTTCTCTATGGCGGGGCATCCCAACTTCTCCCATAATTTCTTTGATATGATTGTAATGTCGGATGCTGTGTCGATTTGTAGGCGTGCCGGTCGTGTATTAATCGTCAGATCGATATATTTGCGAGGTAACGGAGTACTAATATGATATGTGGCAGTAACACCCAAAGACTTGAGCTTGTTGCGCCGTCTGGGTCGACTACGAGATCTGGGTCGGTTGTTGCGTTTGCAGTAGCCATCTTTGTGACCAACAGTATGGCATCGACGGCATTTATGCTGTTTGAATGGGCACACGTTTGCAAAATGCCAGGAACCACAGTGCCAGCAGGCTGATGGTGGTTTATGCTGAGGATGAAGCGGTGCGGTTGATGTCGACGGTACTGGATGCACCGCATGCACTTCTGCTGCATTTTGGCTGCCAGACTGCACCAAGACGGTATCGTTGTGAATGTTGATTAAACGCTGATATTCTTCACCGACGTCTTTCAAAGTCATTCGTGGATCTTGTTCCAGACGATTTAATAGACGTGTGCGTATATCAGCAAATTTGGGAGACTGCAAACCACAAATGAAAATCAATACCTTGAACTGGTCTTCTGAGAGTGATTTCAATTTAAAACGTTCACACGTGCGATTGACTATACCCAACTGAGTATGGATATCATCATTTTCGTTCAAAACTAGTTTCATGCAATGATATCGAATGTTGAATAACGATCTCTGATCACCAAACTGATGACGAAGGGTATGGACAGTTTCATCGAATGATCTTTCACCGGGCTTCTGTGGCAGAATTAAGTTGCAGTATTTATCTAGCTCATCTGCTCCCAATTTACGAAGAAGAAGCCGTACTTTCCAGGCATGTTCTTTATCCGCAAAGTCTACTCGAAATAGGTCTTCATATCTGCGAAACCAGGTATCAAAAGTCACGTTCGCATCTGAATCATAAACGAATTCTGAGATGGTACTACCAATGCTGTCGTTGGCTGTAGATGAATCGGCAGGTCGTGATATCTGTAGACCAGCAAGCATTTCCATCAATTTTAGCTGCTGTTCCATTAGTTTCTCTAAACGCAGTGGGTCCATCTTCAGCAAACCCGTCGCCAAATTTGTTATGTATGTGAATATGAGGACCTTGTAGACTACGAGCGAATCTAACTGATGCTCTGGCTAATTCTGTCCTAATCGCACGTCAACAACAACAACAATAATACCGCCGGGCACGCAAGACAAATAAAAGAGAAGACTGGACGTTGATATGAGAGCTTTTACTGTCTCAAACAACAGTCGAAAATGTTAAACAACAACTCCGTATTTACACAATTAGAAAAATCAATGTCACATTTTAAAAATATTAACAAACCCTGGGAATTCAGTAATTTAAATCAATAATCACGCAGATGCGTGAAAACAATGATTATGCTAGCATCGAATGCACTTATCTTACTGGGACACTATGTTCGAACATGCAGGTCTGCTTAGCGTCTTTAACTTGAAAAACCTTAGTTTGGCATAAGTGCAGACACTGAAATGCTGTAGATATAACCTTTGACGGAAGAACTTACAGCACCACCGTATCTCATAATCGGTGAAGTAAATGCAACTATAATTCCAAATGTTTATTCGCATACCATAACACTGTATAATGTATGCAAACTACCAGTTAACTTGTATCTCACAATAAGGATAACTTACTATTGTAGCTATAAAGTACCCCACGTTTGCACCGGCGTAGTAATAAGAGATTTGTGAAACCTTATTTTCAATAATTTTGGTTATCCTGATAAATCTAAATTCTTGATGTCTTGTACATGATTTTTTTTATATACAACTCCAGGACATGGAATAAAATTCAATGTCCCATGTTTTCAAGATATTCAAAGCTGTGGCCGAACTTGCAACAAACCGCTTCCAGGTTGTTCACATAGTTGTCAACGTAAGTGTCATGCTGGCCCTTGTCTTGATTCGGCAGACAGTAAAGCTTTATGCACACAATTATGTCAGAAACCACGTCCTGGTTGTGGTCATCCCTGTGGTCTACCTTGTCATGAAGTCGATAAACGATCTTGCATGGAAGCTGCCAATAACTGTAGTTCAAAAACTCAATTACTTTGTTCTGCATTAGTAGATGTTGTTTGCCCATGTGGAAAGCGCAAAGAAAGTCAGTACTGTCATCAGGTAATTCCTACTTTTCTGGTTTAATGAGTCAGTTCTTCAACTAGGCTACTTTATGATAGTAAAGAGTGAATTAAGTTTTAAGTGTTCTCGTTCTGTGTTAGCATCGTCTATCCGATTTTTGTTTGTATTAAATAAATAAGTAAAGGTAACTAAAAGCATAGCACATATTCATCTGTCTTTTAATGCTTTAGAGTTATAGAAGGCACTTACAGAATGTATTATAACATAGTTTTGGGGAAAAATTTTCCATAAAGGTGGTATGTACAAGTGTTTGTTAATTTGTTCTTCCATATGGAATTGGTTAGATAGGGTGCGGATTTGGGCCTTTTTGCTTAATTACTCGAATTTTAGTCAATTGATCTTGAATCTAAACCACATTCTATCCAATTCAACCCGAGTAACTCGATCGCCCTCTAGCAGTAAGTGTGATTTATGGCCCAGTCAGTGCGTAACAAGTTTTTCTCCTGGTAACTGACTGAATGTAATACTTATTTAAACTTTAATAATAGTAGGCTTTCTTTCACTATCATAACGTTGAAAGGAATTTATTTGCCATTGATGTTTAGTTGTAGATATTTACATAAACTTATCGTTTTGCAAAACGAACTAACAAAATTTCGCATAATCACTACATTTAAGTACATTATGAGTAATAAGGGATGTAAATATTCACCTATGCAGCTTCATAAAGTGTTAGGTAGTAGTTTAGTAAAACTGTAGGTCACACAGCTTTCTTAGAGGCCAACCCGTCTGAATCAAAGTGATGTAATTAAGTTATGGGTCATTGTAACTGTTCATCATTTACTTTTGTGGGGTTGTTTGTGTCCATTGTGGGTTGAACCGAATTTCGTAACTTCGCGAACTCTTTCAATCCCATCTTGTCATATTGATAACACAACTTTATGCACCTCTTAGTTGTAATATTAGCTGTAACTCAAAAGATTATTACTGATCCGCCAACACCTTAAGCGCTTTCGTTAAAATGATGTGTCATGTACACGGATCCCAGTGGCTGAATGTTCTATGAGGTCGCCGGTGGGTGCGTGCCACCGAAGAGTCCCAAACTAAAACGAGACAGCTGTCCAGTGCTACTTCGTTTTATTAGTGTGTGTCGGTGTTGCAAGAACAGAGTGCTCACCAACGATGCATGTGCCTCAGGGCATTGATCACCGGCCGATGCACTCCTAAACCTCTCTTAGCCGGTAGAGAAGGAAGGTTGGACGCGAGTGTAGCAACCCTACCCCGTAAAAATTAAAAACCCACTTCCACTGAAACTCCAAAGCTGAAGCTTGATATTCTATATTCCACTCGGCATGCAAAGGAGTAAAATATAAAAAAATCGTGTTCACGCCTCTATCATTTCCACACAAGTTGAGTTCCTTTCAAGTCGACTAGAAACAGGTGGATGAGGATGGAAGCATAGTTTTGTTGCAATTCCATCACTGAAAGTAGAAATTACAACACAGTAATTAGTAATGGCGTAATTGTTGCTGTCGGTGCGAATTGGGCAATAACTACGCACATATTTTATGTCCTTACATACGTGTGCGCATACATGAGCATAATGTTGTTACGTATTTTGAACGTCCACCTAGGTTTACACAAAACAGTTCTTGCTTTTTGAGCATGAACTAAGTGTATCAGAGAAATCAACAATAATTCGTCCGCTCCATGCTAATGATAATACAATGAAATCTATTCCCCTGTTGGCTTGCAATGATCAATGCATTGATCATCCAAAATCAGATGTCAGTGATCGTTATGCTGATACAAGTACATGGAAAAGGGGATTTGTGAATAACTGTGATATTGCACCATCTTACTCAGAACAAGATGCTCCATTTGATCCTCCAGACTACCCTCAACATTTAAAAGAATTTGCATTACGCAATCTCGTATTCGTTGAAAATATTGAAAAGCAATTAAAAAACATGGTTCTTGAAGTAAGTCCTCATTCACAATCTACCATATACTTTAGAAAAATGTAACTTTCATTCTTCAAGCTTCACTGTTCCGATATATTTTAATTTTAGGCATTTAAAAGTTCTTATTTTGACAGAGGGATTAGCTTCCTCTAAAGAGATGGGCTGAGAATGTGTTTTTGATTTTCAGCGTCATGATTTGTAGATTTTATTAGCGTCTGTGTCCTTCGGTAGCGTATTTGCCCAACACATGCTGATCACACATGTACTTATCATGTAACGACAGAAGGCAAGACTCAGGCAACAGATTGTTTATTATGGAAATCAACACATATTTATAGATTTTTGTGTACATTATTATAGATTATTGTTAGCTGACAAACACAGTTTTCTGATTGGTTGTTTCTCACTAAAAGTTAATCTTTCATCTCTTTGTTGCTGTCTCTTGAGTGTCAGATCATCTATCTGCTAATTGTATCCGCCTACGCAAAGTCTGCTGTCCGTCTTTGATCTTGTTTTCACATGACTAATATTTGAGACATAAACATTGACGTCAATTACTGTCTACCAATTTGGCTAGCAGTCATCTCTCACCACAATCACACATACTTATATAATAGTCAACAATATGCAAGGTCAAGAATCAATCGATACAGCTCAAATTTTATATTCTAGGGGGGTTAACATCACGAATAAGAGTTACGAAAATAAAATATGGGTGGCGTATTATTTTGCAGAATAACCCTTGGTTTGAGAGCTAGGATTACCAAGGCAGTTTCAAAGTAACAGGTAATAGTTTTTCAATACACAAAACTGCTCTATGCGTTTTTAAATGACGAAGACTTCGACAAATTTAAGTGTAGGACTCACTGTTAAAGTCAACTTCGTGACTTGTTTGTCTGATTTGTTTAGCTTTGTCTTGCATCCCTTTGTATTTATTTATCAGTTTACACGTATGTGTGGTCACATGTACATGATGAGAACCCATCGAGCTCTTTGCGTTAGGGATACCAGTCAGTCTTAGTTTCGGTTCATTTGAAGCAAATAACGAGTGAAAGGTAAATTCACATGAAAATTTGTAAATGGTTCTATCCAATTATTGAATGTCAACTTTTGTTTTCTATACTTTAGTTCTTGAAATCAAATGTTGAAGAAGTTACTTCGAAGAATCGCACAGGTCACCCTCGAGTGGTTAACCATTACTTCCCACCAATGAATAAGAAAAAACGCCGGTTTATTTGTGATATTGTTGAATTTTATGGAATGGAGGCATCTGTATGTGGTATAGATCCTAATCGTCATGTTATGGTGATCGCTAGGCGTGGTTATTCTAAGTTACCTGGTGGAGCGATAGATAATCGAGGCAGTTTGATTAATACACTTAAACGAGAATTCGCGGGAACTATTAAATTCCCCGATGAACAAAAGAAGTCGGATAAAAATGCTACACGCGAATGTCATATATTGCCTAATTCAAACATATCAACTATATCTTATGCTCAGATTCTGAGTGGTAAGCACTCAGAATGACATACTCAGTACAATATTTGCCAAATTCTTTCATTATTTTTGAATAAATTTGTTGTTTTTTTGGATTTTCTTAGCTCTATACTTCATGTGGCTTTGTTATCATTATTAGATTATATGCAGTTTGATGTACACAATACTTAATGCGCGTGTTGAGCTACAATTTTGACTTACATTGTGGCTGAAAAATCGTATGCAATATCGTCCAGGAACAACTCTACTCAAGTCAGCACACTTCATACTTCTTGCTTTAAGTAGTCAGCATCTTGAAGTCCACCCGTCCTACCAGTTCACACAGCTGCGGGAATTAAACTTAAGATGTACACAAATGTATCAGCAGCGGTTCTGGTATATTTTAAAAGTAAAATATACAGTCAGTTCGCTACCCAAGACTTGTTTGAAGTTGGAGGGAGATTATAACGTGTATAATGTCAAGGTGAAGAAATATGAAGAGAGAAAAATGATGCGACCACAGAAAGGAAGTAGGAGTGCTTCTATGGAGAAAATGGTAGTTTAGACTAGCGAAATAGAAAAGCTTATGAATTTCTTGCAAATACGTAATATTAGCGATGATACAAAATAAAGGAGTAAAAGTATTTATTCGAATAACTGCATGGAAGTAGTATTAAATATGTTGCGTACCTTTAGCGATACAATTCATTATTCTGAAAACAATTTTTGGTCACATTATTTTTTTATTTCTTTACGTTCCCAGTGGAACAAAGAACTTCAAACTAGAGGCTTAAAGTTTCGTTAGCAGTGGTGCTTATTTTTTACGGGATTGGGTTACTAGCCTCATGTCCAACCTTCTCTCTACTAGTTTTAATAATGGCTTAGTGAGGTAAAGTTGCTCGTCGGTCGCGGATTGAACCCCGGACCATATGTGTGGTCGGCGAGCATTCTACCGCTATGCCACCGACGCCCTCGGGTCACATTAACAAAAGCTTAATCATATATTCATCGTTATCGCCAAAAAGAGGCTAACTGTCTTTGACCAGAGATGTTAACACCCCATATTTCGTGCTAAAGGATGTACTATGGTGAGTAAATTGAGGTTGGGCAACTCTATCCTTAAGGTTGTTATGCTACATCGATTAAGATACGTGTTACACATATCAAGCCACCACCTTTCTGTTAACTGATATGTGACTAGGTTGAAAAAGGGTTAGAGGTGGCCAGATGAAATCCTGGCCTCAACCCATGAGGGCAATGACTGTTGGTTTGAACCACACAGAGAGTAGGCTGCCTGGTCGCGGTCATCATGTGTGATGGAGATTGATAGTGATGTAGTGATATATAATTCCCGAAAGTTATTAGTCTATAACAATGGACTCTGACCTTCATTGTTTCACTCAATCTATTAAGCTGAATGTACACGGTCAAGCATTCTCGCTACTTGACACGCTGTCGTTTCACGTTCTTTCGTCCGTGCACGGTCTCCATCTAGCTAGAAAATCATCATTGCACCATGATTCTGATCCCAAAATATATCTCGTACTTCGGACGAGCAATTTGTTGTTTTGATCTAAGCAAAACGAGTACTTTTGGAGTTACAAGATGAATATTGCACTTATGTACAGCGTATCTCGCGCAGACATCAATATCCATCATCTTAATTGACATGGCTCAAAATCGTTTACGGTGGTGCAGATACCTCCACTCTTCATAATCTCCTAGATCCATGCTTTCCATATTTATGTAATTGCTCATTCTACTGTGTATTTCTGTTCATTATAGTTGTTTTGAGTTTCCCCTCTTCATTTGTGGGGTGAATGGAGTTGTGGCAACTTGAACCGTTTTTGGAGGTTGGTTCTTGTAAGGCTCATTCAGTTCCTTAAATCTATTATCATTCTTCATACCACCTTTTCTAAGTTTGCCGTGTCTTTTGAAGGACAATGCAGCAACAGTTTTATAGAACTTAAGATGATGAAGAGAATTGTTGTGCGGAGAATATCAACTCATTTGGAGCGTTCATATTCGTTCAAAATTTGACTATTTCCGTAAAATCAGATTGAGTTAAAATGGTCGTCCATAAACGTTTCCACCATCTCAAGCAATACTGAAGGCAACACACTATGAGTACGGAACAAGTTACCGTCTTGAGACATTAAAAATACCTCTCTCCACTCCTCAAGCAATCGCTATGATTATATGGGATGGACCATGTTAGAATTTGCAGAGTGCTTGAAAACAAATAATATAAGGTGAATTCACCGATGACTATTGTGAGATGTGTGTGGATATCACATTTTTAGATGCTCTGAAATGATTTGATGAGACGAGTTGAGCTGCTTAGTGTGTTGTTGAGCTATCCATACACTTTGCACAGATCATGTTCTTTACTTTGCTTATTTCCTTTCGAATATGAATTGTTAATGATTCTTGGTGATCTGACTTAAATCCCTTAAGGAGAATTTAAATTATTCTTCATTTTCCTGCACGCACTGTGATTAAAATTCCGCCTGAGTAATTCCCAACTGCTCCTGGTTCTCGGTACGACTCAGTGTGCCATCCGGTTTCAATCAGGGGGAAAAATCCTGAGATTTATTGTTACCACTGTCAATCTATGCTGAAACTCATTATATATTTGGGATCTGTGCTGATTCCGTGCAATATAATACAATTTTTACTCCAATGCATGTCAATATTTTTCTCACTTGATACAATTGCAACAACAGAGAACAAAGGCCAGGCAACAGATCGTTTATTGAGGAAATCAAGAGATATTTACATATTTTTATGTACATTATTATTCCTTATTACTAGCAGAGAAACAGCGCCTTCTGATTGGTTGTTTCCTCGCTGAAAGTTAATCTGTCATCTCTTTGTGGCCGTTTCCTTGAAGGTCAGACCATATATCTGCGACTCGTCTCCGCCCACGCAAAGTCTTTGTTCTGGTTTTTCTCATCACCAACATTTAGGAAGTAAACACTGACGTAAATTACTGTCTACCAATTTTGGCCAACAGACAGCTCTCACCACTTAATGAAACATCTAAAAGATGCCTTACAATGCAAATTAGCAGCGGAATGTTATGAAATATCTCAGTGTCAAAATTCTGGGGATTATCCGTTATTCCAGCATACTTAACATAACCAGTACGTTTATCACTATTTTAACACTGATTCTGGTCTGATAAAATAACTCCAAATCCCCATCACAGTATAACAGGCCACTACTAAGTGCCGCCAAATATATAACCTTCGAGAAATCACGAAACATTTTCTTAACGCTCTCGAAGTTGGAGGTTCTGAGATAACAACACAATGATTACTGGACAAAGAATATTCTTTTCGATAACTTCATCATCAGGTTTTACAGTTATATAATAATGAAAGAACGACTGTTATTGACAACATCGGTGGTTTTGAAGAGTAACATCGAATCACTTAGATCAGAATTCTAAAAGTTATTTGCAATTAGATTGTTAATAGATTACAGTCCTAAATATATGTATGTGGTAATATGTATAATTGTAACAATAAATTGAACACCAGTATTACAAAGTAAATGACAATGAATATATAGTAATGAATTCTCATGAGTCATGTTCATATTAGATTCTGTCCATATTGATTATAAACTTCAGATGGATGAGTTATCATGTCAAAGACAGGGGGAAAGAAGAAATTTTGGGGTCGCATCTCATGTGTGTCAGTGTGTAAGTTAACTACTTCGTTTAAATAAGAAAACCAAAGGTCAGTTAGTGGGAGTGTAATAACAGGGGATGGGGTAATTTATTAGTACAGGATGGAAAGCCATATACAAAAGGGCCGATGTGATAAGGTATTTAGGAATTTGTGGACTCCACAGCAGGCCAGGGTAGTAACAGTGATTGGACCTGTTTCTTCTATACACAGAGCACCGGTTGTTTTAGGCGAATTGCAATAGCCTCTGCTGTTTGCAGTATTCGGTAACTGGATGCTTTTGGCAATTTATTTGGTACTCGGTAGATGATAGAAAAGGATTCTTCAATGCTGGCTTTGTGGTCAGTTGGTCTAATATCGAACTGTTGATGGTTTTCACTACACCTTTATTTAGCCATACTGGTAGGTGTTCCTGAGCACGAAAAATCAAGTTCCTAGAACAATGACTAATATAACTCGATCCACAAGTGCAGTTGAATTGGCAGATACAAGAAGAAGTAGCTAATCTAGATACTTTATCTTTCAATCTAGGAATCACAATCCGTCGTGTAGAAAGTATGACTTGTAGTTTACCAGCGCTGAAAGTTCTTTGAATAGATTTTCTCAGCTTGCTAGTAATTATTTCACCAAGTGCTTCACCCTCGAGTTGCACTTTATTTAATCGAGGCACTTTTTCTTGGCCTAAGATTTTGCGACAGACGCAGTCGAATAAAACACTTAAGTACAAATACTGAATTTAAAAACCTACTTAGTCAAACAAGGGATCTAGGTCCATCTCCCACCCTGGAACTATAAAGCTTCAAATCCAGTCTGGTGGATTGTTGTTATCAGCACAAATACGACAGTAAAAGTTTCTTGAAATACGGATCACAGAGAATTACAGAAACTGATAAATGACAAACGACTAGTAATCACAACCTGATAAAGGATCAAAAGTAGTCCCCTTCGAAAGAAGTGACTATATTAAAAAGATGAGCGATACGTTCGGAGACACCTGACTGTTCCAAAAACTTGAGGAGAAGAAAGACTTCCACAACAAAATAGAGAGCGAATTAACCAGACGTTTGAGAAAAGTAAGGGAAGGACAGATATTTTCCTGCCCTTTCTTATGCGAACCGCGATGAGACCACTTTATTCGCTTCGCACAAGGCCTCCTATCTTACGAGCTCAAGTGCCAACTGTTACGCCACCCAGTGAAATCCATTTCAGAGGCTCTCGAGGTAGTCAAACGCCTCGAGAGCGTTTAGGGTATTCCTTCGCCTACTCCCGAGTATCTTCCTACGAGCAAAGGAAAAAAAAACATTAATTAGTGTTTATCAAATAGGTTTTGTCTTTATAACTATATCTCCTGGTCCAGAAAACTGACTCCCGACTATCTTCCTGCCAGTAAAGCAAAACAAACACTGATTAGTATTTATAATAAGTTTTGTTTTCATTGCATATGTCAAGCCCAGAGGTAAGCAACCCATATGAGATTCTTAAGGCAGCCCTCCTTAGGAGAAACGACCTCACGGATCGGCAGCGTTTGACAAACCATTTCGCAAAGTCAAGTTAGGTGATCAGTCAGCTGTGAACATGCTAACGAGAATGCGGGAAGTTATTGTCCAACGTCGGTTCGATGAGGGACTACAAAGAGAACTGTTCTTATCCAAATTGCCACAGTCAGTACTGGCTGTGCTCGTTTCACTCCAAGGTGTTAGTATAGACCATTTAGCTAATTCTGTGGATAAAATTATGGAAATAACACAACGGTCAGTCACTGAAATGCGCTCAATCGCTAAACAGACTTCGAGTGGCGAAACTGCAGTCGTAGAGTTATACAACTCCGTTCAGCAACTACTTGGGTCAAACAGTCCCCGTATTTCCTCCCACCGTCGACCGGATTTCCCTCAACGGCGAAACCCACGTGGTCGGTCAAAATCCAGAGCATGTTCACTTGGAAATCCTGACTTGTTTTGGTATCACAATACCTATGACCAGTAGGCGAAATGTTGTCGAAAACCTTATAATTTTGACAATGACTCAAAGACTGTGAAACTATCTCGCCGGCATACGTTAGCGGAGAACGTCACCTGTGACAGTAGCCGCCTGTTATGTATCCATGTTGTAGTCATCGAAACCAGGTACTTGGTCGACACAAGTGCCGAAATCAGCGTCCTTCGTGCTACAGGGGCAGATCGACAGGCTGAGAATGGAAACCTATTGCAACCTTGGTAGGAAATACGTCCATCTGAATGTAGGTCTGCGCAACCTTATACAGTGGATTTTCCTTCTTGCTGATGTCACGGATCTACTCAACCATCGTGATCTACTCGTAAATGTCCACCGAAAACGACTGATAGATGGTACCACTAGACTGTCTATTAAAGGCATCACCTACATAGGTGACAGCTTGTCACTGAATAAAAAGAAGGCGGTATTTGATCCAACTTTCCAGCCGATTGTTGACAAGTACCCGAAACTAAACTGTTCGTCTGATGAGATACGTGCATAACCAGCAGTGTTATGCACCACATCACAACCTCAGGACAACCCCTGACATCCAAAGCACGACGGCTTGCTCCTGAAAGACTAAGACTGGCTGGAAATGAATTCGGCCATATGATCACCCTTGGCATCATTCGGCCGTCGAATAGCCCATGGGCATCCCCACTTCATATGGTACAGAAAGAAGGTAGCAACGATCGCAACCCACTGGTGATAAGCGGCGAGTGGACGCCAAAATAACATCTGACTGCTATCCCTTGCCCCACACACACAACCTAACGACAACACTATCTGGCGCAACTGTTTTCTCAGAAATAGGCTCGGTTGGCGCATACAACCAAATCCCGATGGCACCAGATGACATTCCGAAAACGACTGTCATTACGCCTTCCGAACTGTTTGAATTTCTATGTATACCATTCGGTCTGCGGAAATGCAGTAGAAACGTTCCAACGCTTCATTGACGAAGTATTTCGCGGTCTCGACTTTGTATACGCATACGTAGACGAGTGCCTCATTGTGAATCCAAACAAAGAAACTCACCTTAGACACTCGGACTTGGCGTTCGATAGGTTACGCCCACATGGTGTTACCATTAATATTCAAAAGTGTCGGATGGGTGTGGAATCACCAGACATTCTCAGCCACACCACTGACTACAAGAGTATCCGCCAATCGGCTAGTAATGTTGAAGCGATTCTGGACTTTCCGGAGCCAAATAAAGTATTTATCAGTAAGAGACGAAATGCGTCCATCTACTCTACGACGATGTTGTCACGAATGATATAGAAGTGAGAAAAAGGAAGTATGCAATGAGGAAAGTAGTAAAACACAACCAACCATAATGATGCGTACTATAGTCATCTCAGCAGTTTTACACATACTTTTAAATATAAGTGCCTCAGTTTATATTTTAGCTGATTAGTTTTCTCAAGGAAATATATTCCGATTTATAAATGATAAATATTTTCAATTAAATTATAATAATTTGTATACCATACTATTTATTAATTTATTAATAAAAATTTTAGAAATAATTGGAGTACTTTTTCACTTAATATTATTTACTTAGTTATTTTATATGTTTAAAACAAAACAGAAAATTAAAATTTTAAATATACCTCATAAAAGTAAATGTTCAATGAAACCATTGAACTATTTAAAATCAACATTCACAAATAAGTTGAAAAATGAAAATAATCATTCATATGTAGTAAAGTATCATCAAATTACTCATCATAGAGATGAAAATAAAGAAGAAGAGAATGATAATGTGAACAATAATAATAATAAAAATGATATTGAAGAGGAAAGTTTGAATCTCAATGTAATTCCTAAAATTGGTAATGATGAATTCATTGACGATGTGTTGAATGAACAAGAAGAGATATTTGAAATAGGTGATAATATATCAGAGAGAACACTTTCAGATCTTATTCATTCATATACACTATCTGATTTATCAATGTATATTAATGAAATAGACGAGTGTATTTCAGGTTTATCACAAGAACAAAATCATTTGGATTCATTAATGAATATAATAAGTGAAATTGAGAAAACAGTCGATTTCTCAGATATCGATACTGACTACAATGATAGTCAGACAATACCAATTAATATGAAACAACAATTATTTCATGATTTCAAATTAATATCAAATAGGCAGAAATTAAACGTCACGTACAAGGTCATTCGTGGAGTGAGACGCTCAAAGGCCATTTCCAAGTGAAATTTTAACAGCTGATATTTAACGTCTACCTATCAAATACAAATGTTCAAATAGTTTATACGATTGGAAGTATTCAAAAGTCAATGGTTTATAATTACTCATTTACTTTATTTATAATTTACAATTGTTATTTATTAGTTACACTAACACCTTATATTTTAAATAGTTTAAATATTAATTATTTACAAAGTTATTTACCTATTTATATGATTCATTTAAATCTTTTAAGTTTCAACGTTACGCGGGATAATGGTAATGAACTGAAACATTTACAAGTTAGTTGTCACTATGACAACCATTATAATCAATCATCAATATGGGAACCCCTAGAACAGTTTCTTACATGTAAAATAAGCCTTGAAAAGACAGAATGTTTGAAAAATAAATCATCTTTATTGAATTTAATGAATACTTCAGATTTAACTAAGCTTATATCTAATTGTGAGAATGAATTAACACAGGAATTATTCAATTTTTAACAGTTCAACAATGCAACATATTGTTTTGCATTACTTCATTATTGGTTGAAAAATAAACAGTTTGATCAAATTACACGTATCATATTAACACTAATTATTCACGTATTATGTTCTAGATTAATTATTAAGGAATTTTTACTGATAACTGTATCAGACGAAACACAAAAACCTTTGGATATAGCATATTTCAAGTCGATTTGTACACATTGTAATTTAGATATGATAAACATGGAATAGAGTGAAGTGTGATAATATTAATTGGCGAAAAATTATATTCAGACAGCTGACGGATGCATTTCTTAAGTCTTCAAGAAGATTACTTTAGTATTAAATAGCTTATTTTTGTGGCAACTTCACAATTTGATTCATTTTCATGTCTACATATCTTAATTTTACGATCATTCTGTCCATTAGTGAGTTGATCGTATGTAGTTCAATTCAACTTTCAGCATAACTGTTGATTTAAATAAGGTTTTTTGCTCCCAATTTCGTTGTTAAACTTATTTTCAGTTAACTTTTGATGGAATTAAAGAACAAACTGTCTCAGTCACGAAAGAATATCATTATAATTTAATCATTCCCATTTTAAAATTATGAATAGAGTATTTGACAAAAGGAAACTCGGTGGCACAGCGGTTAGGACTCTCGCCGACCATGCACATGGTCCGGGGTTCGATCTTCTGCTGACGCACACCTGATATCTATGGTCGGCCTGCAAAATTTGGGCTACTGATATCACATGCTGAAAATTCCGTACTTGTACCAAAAATACTGTGTGGAATCAAGCTATAAACAAAAATAAAAAATAAAGTGGCAAATCTCCGAACTTTTAAGGGCTTGATAGGTTACTACCGACGCTTTATTCCTAACTGTGCCTCCCTGATTCAGCCACTAATAGACCTTCTTCGAGGGAATAACAAGTTCACTGAACTTGACGCGTACACCAAATTTGCCTTCATTCAGGTTAAAATGCGTTAGCGAATGCCACCATTCTTATGTATCAGGATCCAACGGCAGTGTTAAGCATTGCATTTGATGCACCAGACACTGCAGCCGGCGCAGTTCTGCAACAACTAGTCAACAAATAGTGGCAACCGCTCGCTTTTCTCTCGAGGCGTCTACAACTAGCAGAAATCAAGTATAGCATAGCAGAGAACTTCTGGCTATGTACTGTGCCATATGTCATTTTCGACATTCAGTGGAGGGTGGTGAATTTATAACTTTCACTGGTCACAAACCTCTGACGTACTCCCTCAACTAAACTTCAGATAAGTATTCACCGAGGGAACCACGACAACTGGACTACATTTTACAGTTTACATCGGATATTCGCCATATATCCGGAGTGGACAACTCTGTGGCTGATGCCTTGTCGCGCATTTGTTCCCTCACCCAAAGAGATGGCATGGACCTTGTGAAACTGCCTCATCTTTAAAAAGAAGATACCGAGCTTCAACACGAGATGTCGAGAACAACTCTGCAATTAACCGAGAAATCTCAGGCATAGGAAGAGACACTACTCTTTGTGACGTCTCTACGAGTACTCCTCGCCCCATCGTGACTAACAGTTATCGCCGTAACGTCTTCATTGCCTTTCGTGACTTATCCCACCCAGGCATTCGAACTACTGTCAAGATCATCACTAGTCGGTTTTCCTAGCCTGGTCATAGTAAGGAAGTTGGGGAATGGGCTCATACGTGTCTAGCTTTCCAAAAGCGCTATGTAGTAAGACACACCAGAAGCCCTCTTGGCACATTTCTCATCCCTGATGCTAGATTGGAACTCGTTCACGTAGATCTGTTGGACCCATCCAGAATCTCATGAACATACTTATATCTTAACCTGCACCGACCGTTTTGCACGGTAACCTGAAGCAGTACCCATCATGGAAATATCTGCTAAAACAGCCGCTCGTGTCTCTGTAGAACGATGGTCCGCAAATTGTGGATACCCATCCCCATGACAACTGATCGTAGGAAGCAATTCGAAAATGGCTTATTCTTCGCCCTGACTAAATTCATAGCTTGTATGCATTTTAGAACAACAGCCTACCATCCTCAAACTATGGTAGAACGTCTACACAGTCAGTTGAAGGCTAGGTTATCAGCTGCAAACAATGCACATTGGACTGAATGACTACCGTCAGTCCTCCCAGGCATACGAAACGTTTTAAAAAGTGATGCTGGTTGGATTAATGCTGAGCCAGCATATGGCACAACAATATGACCGCAAGGTGAATTTGTTTCTCCCTCTAGCTTCTCATTGGCTGTAGATCATGTCTCTTGCGTTAGCAGGCTTACAAACGCAATGCGTTCAGTTAAACCTGCTCCCCTCCGACCACAGTCCATAGACGTCTTTGTTCACCCAAGTTTGAAAACTTCCTCATATGTATTTGTTCATCATGACTCTGTACGTCACCCTCTGGAACCCACATACTATGGACCATATAAAGTCATTAAACGTAAAGATAAATTCTTTGCCCTGGACGAAAATGGCCACATGGACTCTGTAAACATCAATCGTCTGAGACCGGCCTACTTAGGAGGCAATCCCATGAGCCTCGAACTATTCCCAATAATACACAGGTAACCGAATATCCGTTTGTCTTCAAATAAATCGCTAGCCTGACAAAGGCAACTGAAACTTCTATCGAGACACCAAGGAAAATGGCTCCTGGATGAACTGTAAAATTTCCAGAACAACTTCATACTTCTCTCACACTACAAGACTGACGCAACCCAAACAATGTATCACACTTGTGGTACATATTTTGCAGGTACATAAATTATTTTTCATTGCATCCCTAATCATAAGTCAAATGTTTTTGTCGCCATATATGTTACATCCACTTAAAAGCTATATGTTTTGTCGATGTTCAATTTTTTACGCATTATTTTCTGTATGGTAGATGTACATCAAGGTTCTGACGTTATTTGTTGGTACATTTTCCTCGACAAGGTTCTGGGCACTCATGTTTTCTTTTCCAGGTGCAACAAGCACAGGACAAGAAGCACGAAATCCAACGGATGAACATCAATAAGCCATATACACACACTAGATTAGCATACGTAGAAAGCCAGTAGGTAATCCATCAAGCCTATTGAAAGGGTTTGACTAATGGTGCCAACACTAGGTTTTTACTTCCGGCTGGTTTCGTCGTCCTCACAACCCTATTAAGGAGGAGTTAGCCGTAGTGGTAGGTAATCCCCACTCATCACTTAATATCAAACGCTGATGCTCACTGTTTAATTTAACTTGTTAAGCTGAAGCATCCACGACATTCAGCACGCCGTCGTGTTACGTTCGGTCGTGCAAGATTTCTAGCTAGTTTAGCAGTCAACTCGCATTACGACTGGGTCCCGAAAAATACTTCTTAATTTTGACGATCAATTCTGGTGTTTTGTTTTGCCTTTGGTCTACGCGGAATGAATACTCTAGAAGTTGTGGGTATTACATCTTGTGTTAGCATACATCCATACTATCCGTGGATGTCTACCCCGCTCAGCTTCTAAGTGGTAATATTAATGAATAGATATCTGCGTATATGGGTCAGTGCATTCAAAAGAAGGTCAAAGTAGATCCTGGATCCAGCACCTTCCACTTTCATGGTTACCAACGTGTTTCTGAAGCTGAAAATGAGAAATAATTGGGGAAAATACATACATCGGAAGCAGTGGTATGGCGTGGATGATCACCTAAGTTCAGCACCAAGAAGCAAGTGAAGAGAAATCATTTTACAGTAGCTCGTTAAAAGGATATAGGTTATTATCTCGTCAAGTTATATTGGATTTTGGCAGCAGGAACAGTCGAACCCTGAGCACACAGAAGATGCATACGCTCTACTACCGCGCGAACTTTGAAAAGGGAGTGAATTTTACACGCTCTTGTTTAGTTATGGCATTTGTTGTGTTATACGCTCCAAAAGTCTGCAGATTAACTTTAAATCAGTTTATTCTGATCAAAGTTATTTTACTTTTCAGATCTGAGTCTATTTAAATTATAGGAAGTTGTATCTCATGACATAATAGTTGTATATATTTTTGTGCACTCATTGGTTTTTATCGCTGATTTATAAAGGTCTATATACATCTAAGTTATATTTAAATTTCTTTGCCATTCCGTTCTAGACAGTATGCCCATAAAATCCGCTGCGGAAGGGTTATGTGCCAATTCCCAGTGGATGAGGGAATGCAGTGTGATAACTGCAAGAGATGGTTTCACAGTATGTGCACAAACCTAACTCCTGCAGTATACAAACGCTGCTGCAAACCTCTAGAAACTGGTTGTGCAGTGACTGTTGTAGTACTACCAAACTCCGTATTACAGAAGCCATTGCCACTCTCAGTGGGGCTTCAAAGCTCATGGACTGCGAAAGTCTTTCATCACAGGAGAGGACTGACTACTTCTCAGACACCGAAGATGCGACTAGCGTCATTGACAAAACAGTACATGTTCCTAGTGAGTCTTTGTCAATGACTGAGTTCCCTTCAGCACAGAAGAACACTCACCACATTCCAGACACCCAGGCTGCCCCCACGATACTGGATAAGCCCTCCAGTGACAGTAATGAAAAGACTGCCACAAAGAAGAGGCGTACCAGGGGTCGAAAACCTGCAACTCAAGTCACCCAGGTACTAGTGGATCAAGCCTCATCCACACTAGTGAGAAGCAGGCAGATAAATCTTACTACGATTAGTGGGGAGAACACCAATGAATGGCGTAACGTAGTCTCTCGCAAAAAGCGAGGTAAGGACAATACATTTTCCACACTGCCCACGAAGGACAGAAAGACATTTACGCCGCAGAGCAAGAAAGCCACGGCAAGCAAACCTGATCTCTCTGACAGGTCGCTCATTCTCCACAAAGTGGAAGAGTCACTGGCCCCCGATCCCAAGACTAGATTTGAGCATGACCTTAACTTGGTTAAGCCCCTTTTAGACAAGCTACTGCCACAAACAGTATCAGGCATTACTGTACATAGCGTATATAGAATAGGCCAAAAGCCTAACCCTACAGTAAATCAGCCTGAACGTCTCCTCAAAGTCGTACTAAGCTCTAAAGTAGAGAGGGTTGCTATTCTAAGCAACTCTTAAAGGATCAGGCATATATGTCCGTACCGACTTAAGCCTAACAGACCGTGTCAAAAGACAGTCTGCGGCCCTAGAATTAAGCGAACGACGCCGAAACGGCGAAAAGAACCTTAAGATGAAGGGTTTTCGGGTTGTCCAAGTTCGCAGTTTAATGATCCCGAAACCTCTGTGGGTAGGCCGGGGAAGCAACGAACTGAATTAACAGTTTGCTACACAAACGCCCGCAGCCTGTTAAATAAACGGACTGAGCTGGTTAACATGATAGACTCCGGAAACCCGGATGTAATTATTATCACAGAGACCTGGCTCATACCCTATGTCACTGACAACGAAGTTAACCTGCCAAACTTCGAAGTGCATAGGGTGGACCGACTAAACCACAAAGGAGGTGGCGTAGTCATCTACCTCAAGAAATGCTTAACCGTGCGTAGTATCGAAGCACTCGCTCACGAAAGTCAGTCGTGCGAACTTCTACGATGCAGACTTAAATGCATAGGCCAAGACATTGACCTCATTGCTATGTACCGCAGTCCTGACTGCAGTGCAGATGATTTCCTGATAGAGAAGCTAGGCTCCTGGACCTCGAAATGTCAAAGTCTCGTAGTTGGCGACTTCAATGCCCCAACAGTTGACTGGACGAGCCTAACAACTCCATCTTCAGTCAACTCCTTTGATTATAAACTGCTGGAATCTATTATATCGTTAGCTCTATTCCAAAATATCGTTAAGCGCACGCGCTATGACTCGCAGCACTCCTCCTCAGCTGTGGATATAGTGTTCTCCCATGATGAGGATGTGGATCTCAAACAACATCTTCCTCCTTTAGGAAGAAGTGACCATGCTGTGCTCATTTTCAAGTTCACAGCAACGGCAGCAAGGGCAAAAACCCCATCTCGACCAAACGTTTGGAAAGCTGATATTAATGCAATCGTCTCAGCAGCCAACTCAGTAAACTGGTACATCAACCCAGAGTCTCAAGTAGAAGCCGCATGGAACCAATTTAAACAGCTTTACGCCCAAGTAACTGAACCTTTCGTCCCTTGGTCTGTCCCAAAGGGTCGGAAACACTGCCCTCCTTGGATAAACCGAGAGATTCGTAAGTTACTTAGACGTTAACACAAATGTTGGACTGTTTGCCACACTTGAGACTTCTGAGACCAGGAAATTATATAACACTGCTAGAAATAAAGCTATTGCACAAATCCGCCAATCAAGGATGAAATTCGAAGCACACCTGGCTCAAAATGCAAAGGAACAACCTAAGAAAATTTTCTCGTACATGAACTTCAGGAATAAAACATCCAATGGTGTCCCAAACCTGGCTATTGACAGTGATACAATCGAAGAAGATCAAGAAAAAGCAGAAGCAATGGCAAACTACTTCTCCCAAGTCTTCACACAGGAGTTGTCACTGCCTATAGGATCAGCTCTGGCTGCATCAGAAGAACATGGGATAGATTCCGTTGACATCGACCAAGGCATCGTGCTCAACTGCCTAAGGAAACTAGATGCAGGGAAATCAATGGGTCCTGATAATCTTCATCCAAGGCTTCTCAAGGAGCTATCAGCCCACAAAGCCGACCCTTTGACTACGATCTTCAAGCTTTCTCTCCAAAATGGAGTGTTACCGCGTGACTGGAAAGACGCCATAGTAACCCCCATCCACAAAGGAGGATCAAGACAAAGCCCTTCAAATTACAGGCCTATCAGTCTCACCAGCACTTTAATTAGGACACTGGAAAGAATCATCAAGAAAGCATAATGGCATGTCTAGAAAGTAGAAGCTTATTATCAAGAGCACAGCAGTGCTTCCGAAGGAACCTCTCATACCTGTCAAATCTTCTCGCTGCAAGAGGAAGCTGGGTCAAATCCAGAGACAACAGAAGACCAGTTGACGTCGTCTTCATAGACTTCAGCAAAGCCTTTGATAAAGTACCTCACAAAAGACTACTCATGAAGTTGGAAAGTCTTGGTACCAAAGGCAGCCTACTAAATTTGCTGATGGAATTCCTTATGGATAGGAGGCAGAGGGTTAGGATCAACTCGAAACTCTCCTCCTGGAGAGAAGTGCGTAGCGGAGTGCCACGAGGTACAGTACTCGAACCTCTCCTACTTATTTTGTATACCAATGAGTTACCTCTATTCACCGACTCCCCTATGGTCCTATACGCAGATGACTTAAAAATTTGGAGAGAGCTGAAGGGCAACAGTGACACGTTCACGTTGCAAGAGGACCTCAACAAATTGTCAGAGTGGTCCATAGAATGGATGCTCCCGATAAATGTGGCAAAATGTGCAACCATGCGCATTGGACAAGCAAGCACGAGCTCTTATGAACTAGAGGGAATTACACTTCCATCAGTTCAGACTCACTTGGACTTAGGTGTCATAGTTAGCCACGACTTAAAAACTACAGCACACTGTCACGCGGTGGCTGCACGTAGTTTCAGGTCATTATGGGCGATTCGTAGAGCCTTCACTAGAATCACCAGAGATATGTTCACCTCCTTATATACATCTCTGGTGAGGTCAAGACTGGAAAACTGCATCCAGGCCGCCAGCCCTTGTCTGAAAGGGGACTCACTTATTCTAGAAAGGGTTCAAAGGAAGGCAACACGTATGATTCATGGCATGACTAACTTATCATACGAGGAAAGACTAGACAGTTTAAATATCTTCTCCTTGTCATACCGTAGGCAGAGAGGAGATTTAATCACAATGTTTAAAATTTTAAATGATGACTACGGACCTGACCTATTATCTCTTTTCCCTCCCACCAGGTCGGAACACCTTAGAGGACATAGCAGGAGAGTTCAAAAGGCAAGAAGAAATCATATTGCTGTTGAGTACTGATTCTCACACCGAGTCATAAACTCTTGGAACCGACTCCCAGAAGAAGTGGTGTATGCAACCTCAACTGATTCGTTCAAGAAGGGTTTGGACAACCACAGAAATTTACTAGAAAAGGATTAACATAGGCTCCAAGCCTTCTATCCTCAACCAATAAATCTGAATCTAATGACCCTGCTAATGACCACGGAGCCCGCTTCGATTCTCAAGGTCGCTGCGGTGAGTAGTCATTTGTATTGATGCTAATTCTCACATGATTACTTTAAACGTCAGACGAAGTATTCCTAGCCCCTTTTAGTTTTAGAACCATCGGCTTCTATGCTTGTCATTACCTATTCAGTCTTGTAAAAATTCACTGTAACAAAGTTTTATACGTGAGCACGTGTTAGTTGAGGAGCTTCTGTAATGGATTGGTGCATCAACATAATGTTGATTTCACTGTGCTTTACTAGCGTTCTTACGTTCTGCAGACCGATATCATAGAATTTAACAACTTCAAAGTCGCTACGGACAATAGGAAAATTCCCAAGCGAGTAATACCAATTGACTGTTTTGATTTAGTTTTCCTGTGTGCTCATATGTGCGACATTGAAACACGTGTAGTTGTCATACCATCAGGTAACTCCACATAGTGGCTGGTGCATTACATTACTTTCTTCATGTGTTATTAGTTTACAGTTGCTCTTAAATCTGTCACTCATCAGGTATGTTGGTGACACTTCCATTGTACACCGATGAAAACTCTTGTAACTTATATGTACCACAGTTCTCTATGGACTGACTAGTTCATTCAGGTCCTGATGTAATACATTCCTGTCTTTAATGTTTAATAATAATGTTTAATGGTGCGTGATTGACAAAGAATAACTTAAGTGACGTTTGTTTCGAATTCCCTTTTGTGTCTTACAGCTTTAGAATAAAATTTATTACCGATTTGGCGATAGCCGGAGATGTTGCTATTGAATTTCTGTGGCGAAATTGGATTACTTATATAAAATTAAATTAGTTTCACCTTGTGTTTGTAAGTTAAGTGTGATAAGCTTAATGCAGTTGTGAATGTAGTCGGATAAACTAAAAATGTAGGGTTTGGTGCACTCATCATCATCAGTGGTTAATTATACAAGATTGAGTCCATCTGAAGTGCTTTATCCCATATTATGTATGGTTTCTTCTCATTGACTCTCCTTCGACTTGAAGTTGCAAGAATCAGTAAAAGCCCAAAAATATATTAGCTAGCATTTCTGTTTTGGTTGCTCTTGCTTTTACAAAGTAATCAGTGAGAAATGCTGTATGAAGTTGTGTTACACAGTAAATGTGTAGTCATAATACATATGCACTGTGTGAGGCAAGAAAATTAATAACATAACTGAGGATACTAAGTTAATCGAGTGGCTGAGATAAGTATTTCATTACAATACATTCAGTATGTAAAGTAAACGAGGTAGTCATAATTATATTAGCAGCTTGTTTATGTCAGTCTAAATGTTTTAAAGAACACAAAGTGTAAATCATTGGGATAAAACTGCCTGAAGAAAAGTAGGAAGTCGAAAAAAGTATATGAGAAAATGGTGTTTTGACAGTGGGAGCTCCAGCAAGGAATAAACCTCACAAGTGTTCTTAGTCAACAAAAATATATGGTCTGATTGTCACACTTCTATATTTGTGAAAAAACGCATGGCAACTGAACGCGATAATTTTCGTTGAATGCAACATATCTCAGTAAAGTCTACATTAGTGTTCCAAGAGTACTATGTCTACTAAGTGTGATCTAATAGAAATTTTATGAACTTATTTTCATATTCAACATGAAGTGCTTATATCAGGCACAATATCCTTATTTGCGTCTTTATCGTTGGGGTCAGATGTCGCAATAGTATCTCAATAGGTATATTTCCTGTGAATTTTAAACGTTAAGATAAGGGATTCTGTTCACTGTCATCAGTCCATATTCGCTGTCGTTGCTGCTTAGTTGGTGAATAGCGTTGATATTTCAGCTATCATAATGACAGCCGATGACTTGTATTCGTTCAAGGTCATTGGACTTTCGCACTCCTGGGACGCTATTGTTGAACTACGCCACTGCATTAATTCCTATCTTCCTAGGGTATCAACTGTCTCGTAGAGATCTCACATATTTCTAGGGCCAAAATGACTCCACTCCAAATAGTGAACACTTGATGAAGTGTGGGTTTTTTATCAGTATAAAGCGAAAGGAATGTGTGTCTGACTTTTACTATCAGTTTTTGACATACACTTCTCCCGAGAGAAATGTGTTTCCCTTTCATTAGTAAGTCATCGGGGAAATGTAGTTACATTACTCACCTTTATGTGTGAAGTGAACTGTCAGATGTGCGCTGCTGAATGGACTTAAAACTGAACGGTTACATAGAAATGTGTGGTAGAATATGAAAATATCTTTCATTTAAGTACAGCATTACAACACTTATTTCGTCCTTCAACAGGTCATTCTTTAGTTCTGCTAAAACTTAATCCGCAAATATAAAGCCCGGCAGAGATTCAGTCATTACTCCGTCAAACTGTCTGCATAGTACTTGATTAGATTGTAACTGGACATTCATTGTACATTTAAGCAATACGTCTCTCAGACTTACAATAAGTAACCCCGGATATAACTTTTGCTAATTGTTGGCAGATATAAACTACGGCTTCAATAAAATGCATGTTGGTGAACTAAGATTTTTCACCAGACTGCCGAAAATTTGGGTTCTTAATTCCACTAATAAACTAAGAAGTATCTCTGATGCCATATTTAGCAAGTCTGTCAGGCAAAGGTTGGAGTAACTGTACTAACCACAGTATGATCGTAAGGTTAGACGAGTCCGACTTACCTAGAACGAGACAGCACTTTTGATTTCTATTTGTTTGTCAAAATTTACACATGAAGTGATGCTGTCTAAGTTCCTCAGAATTATTTACAGTTTGGATGATATGTACTCATTGAATTAGGTCTGTCTTTTTCTAACTTTTCCCCCACGGATTTTGTTGGTTTTGTGCCTGAAAGTTGATTTTATACTGAAACTCACAATGGCAATTCTAGCCACATTGTCAGGAAGAGTGATGATAATATTCTTACTTAGTTTCGGTCTTTTAATAACCTGATAGTGTCTAGTTTTCATATGATGAGACAGTCTTATTCTCTATCTGTGCCGACTGCAATGACGAAATAAAATTGATGTAACTAGGTGTTCAGAGGCAATCGATGAGAAGCCATGCCTAGTTAGATGAGACGGTGAAGTCAGCTGTTTGTAAATAAGGGTTTTCAAACTGCACTTTTGCATCTATTCGCTTAAAATCCTTGCAAATACCGCAAAATGTAAGTACATTGTTAGTCCTTGCAGTCAAACTGTATCAAGAACTATACTAGAATAGCTTTGAGCTGACTTCTCACTGTTTGCAGGGAACTCATTTTGTGGTATTTGAGAAGTTCACCAAAGGTCCAGGAGGTCAAAATTCAATTTTGCACTGTATTCGGTGTATTTGATAGACTGAAGTCTCACGTATTCTGGAGGTACATACTTGTCTTGTGATGCGTTTACATACATATATTAGTTATAAGTGAATTAATCAAAACTAATTAAAAACTGCGTTTTGAGATGTTCTGATTTCCCTTAAAGGCTTTCGGTAGAGTTTATGGTGATGAATTTACCTGCTACTCATTTTTATTAGTGTTACAAATACCCTCGATTCATACAGCATAAATAATTGAAAGTCCTTTGTAAAATGTTTTGAAATAGTTCACAGCAATGCAGACGTATTTACTGACTGTCGTCTCCAAAATTTCGAACGTCAATATTTTTCATTTAATTATTCATCTGTGTCCGTTCATTTTGCTGTCTTCCTACTTCTGTTTCCTGACTCTGTGTTGTTTTGAATTTTAATAACACAAAGTCCTATATTGCTTTATCACTTCATCATTACTTGCCATTTTGATAATGAATGGGCTTTCTTGCTGAATTTATGTGTGACACTTTAAGGTTTGCTAAGGTTAAGAAATACCTGAATTTGCAGACTTTACTTATTTCATGTAAAGAGCCAAAGAAATCGGTATATATAGGATTCTGAAGTGAAGGTCGGTGGGTTTTCGACATAGAACTTTGCACATATGTGCGGCAGTCCAAGTCGCCACACTCCATGTAGCACACAAAGCAAGAGAAGAAAGTAGAAGAAATGCATAATATAGACAGTAAACAGAGGTGTGAGACAAAGGAATAGTAATAACGAAGAACAAAACAGTTTAATTGGAAATCATAAGTCACAAGGAGTGGATGCATCTGCGCCACTGAGAACGATTTTGAGCCATGTCACCAATTGTTTCCAACCATCGGTTTTTACCGTCCCGAGGACCCCAACCAGGAAGTCTACATCTTCCTACGTGGCTTAGACTAACTGTTGTAGATTTCATTGACTGGTGCCATGTTTTCATTTGACCGCCGCTAGCGGTGAAGGTGTATTTACAGGTCACTGCCACCCACCAGACATAAGATGGCAGGTGTGAATTATCAGCTTAAACACTTGTCTTTCAGCTGATAAGTTCAGGGTTCAAAATACATGACATCAACTTTACTGTAGGGAGCCGTAAAGCACATGTGCTTACATATCAATCATATGTCATAGGTTTTTTAATATAAGGAAACATGTTCCGGGTGATGTTCGCGGTTTAATAACAGTACAAGCTATTACTGTTATTAAACCTTTTTATAAAGCGTCACTTCTTTTGTGCAAAATTACAGTTGGATGGATGTGTCAACTACTTTTGGCTAACGTGAGAAAGATCAGTGTGTCGCATGTCAATTTTTGGAAGTGGTTAACAGAACAGGCGGTGTCATTGCTAAAGAGATTATTAGTCTTTCAAAAGGTGAATTAATGCCTTTTCAGTACTAGCAGTAGTATTTACTAGGCAGGACTTCAGGTGTAATATTTTTTACAGTCGTAACAAGATGGTTCTGCAACTTCAAGATATGTTAAAATCCCTTATTTTTTCTTTATAAGATAAAATTGTAGTTGGGAGTAGAAATCCTTTATTTTCTAGCTCTCAAATCTCTACACCAACTATGTGGTAAGTTCAGTAAATTGTCTGAAAATAGTGTCGATTCTATATTTATCTCACTACTTTCAACCAAGCAATATGTTTGTTTGCAGATATATTTTCGTTCTGTCTACAGTACTGTACTCTATCTGCTTGACACTACGTCAATATTTCTGGTTTTAGGAAATTCTGTCTTGACGAATCATTCAAAATTAGCTACAGAAACCAGCTAAATCATTTTCACGGATACAACCAACTAATTTCTTCTATATATGGCGCTGAGGTCTGTTGCCAGATTTTCACGCCTCGCTAATATTGGTTCACTATCTTTAACTCAATTTTGGTAAGTCCCTATCTTCTTTTTACCATCATTCATATTAGCCATCCTGTACAGTCACCAGTGCAAACTTGTTTCAGTATACGTCTCAATTCTAAACTTAGTACAGGAAGCACTGAGGAGTCTACAGTTCCAAAGGAAAACGACGGTGATAATGAAGGTCTAAAGGTTGAAATGCAACAACTTGCTGAGAAATACAGTGAACTAGAAGACAAATATAAGAGAGCCCTGGCTGAATCAGAAAACATGCGTAAGCGTCTAACAAAGCAGATAGATGATGCCAAATTGTTTGGAATTCAAAACTTCTGTAAAGACTTGCTAGAGGTTGCTGACATTCTCACAACTGCTACTGAGTCATCTCCCCAAGATCAATTAGAAGAGGGAGTCAACCCTTCCTTCGCTAATTTGTATAATGGACTGAAAATGACAGAAATGCAACTCTTTAAGGTAATATAACTTTGATTTTCTTGGCTTTCACTGTTACCATACACATTTGTTTGACTTCTCATAAAATTTCTTATAAAATAAAGACATACAATGTCGACACACAATGTCACATTGTTACCTATTGATCCTCTAGTCGCTATATCACATATCTGTGCACCAAACAGATACCAATAGAATAGGAGGTAGTACCTGTAAAAACCATTTTACAACTCATACAGATATAAAGGAAGCGGAAATTAATAATGCGGGACTTAACTAATCCATAAATATAAATGAAAAATGTCTCTGGCTGTTTATTTCAGGAATCTTTTTCGTCCACAGTTAAACGGTATAGTTCCGTTATTCACATAACTGAACTATGAATGGAATGTACATCTCGTTCGACTGCTATTTTAGATGACTGTCATCGTCAGGTAGATACAAACTGCGAATGACCCCACTAGGGAAAAAGCCGCAAATGGCTAAAAATGATTTCCTGGTTTTTATTTTCGATTTCGCTTATTCATTCTATATTTTACTTCAGTCACTTATTTTGCATACAAAACGTTTTACTCTCACAGGTTTTCGCACGCCACAGTTTAGTTCGCATATCCCCAAAAGTCGGTGAAAATTTTGACCCAAACCTTCATGAAGCCGTTTTCCAAGCTCCTGTGGAAGCAGGAAAAGAGAAGAATACTGTCGCAGTTGTCACTAAAGTGGGATACACGCTACACGGACGTACTCTCAGACCAGCTTTCGTAGGTGTATTCGGTCCTTAAAACGCGTAGAAAACCAAATATCTCGACCCAACTAGCAATACTGTTTGTTTCATAATTGTATTATCTGAAATATGATATAAAATTGATTTACACTGTTCAGTTTTCAATCACATTGATGGTTACCGTGGTCATCCTACGTAGAGGTGTTTCTAGAATGGCCATTTGTCTTTGTCTTATTTTTTCTAATGTTTGGTTGCCTAATTAAAGTATCAGATATCGGATAGTTGGTTCTGAGTGATTCAGTTCAGAAGCACTGCTTTAAATACGGGGCAATTCTGTACAAAGGAATGTTAGTGCAATTAGTGGTGTAACGACAGAAGGCAAGAGTCAGGCAACAGATCATTTATTAAGGAAATCAACGCATATTTATATATTTTCATGTACATTACTATGGATATTTAAGCAAACAAACACAGTCTTCCGATTGGTTGTTTCTCACGTAAAGTTAATCTTTCATCTATTTGTGACTGTTTCTTGAATGTCAAATCCTCTATATGTTAACTGCATCCGCCTACGCAAAGTCTGCTGTGGTCGGTTTTGAATCAATCTTTGTTCACATTTTCTCACGACAAATCTTGGGAACGTAAATATTGACGTAAATTACTGTCTACCAATTCGGCTAGTAGACAGCTCTCACCACAGTGGGAAATCTTCATTTTATATGATGATTCATACATTTTAGCGAAGAAAACACTGTCTGACTAAGTGTGCTAATGCAAGTACGTGGGAGGTTATTATTCTCATGACTGCACACACTGTGGAAGTTGACATCTTCCTCAGATACCTTAAACTTGAAGGAGTATTGGCGTTTTTCAACTGCAAAGCCATGGGGACAATTGCCTAAGGGTAGTCGCACATGGCCTGTTTGAAGTGGCTTTCAGAGTTGTACCCGTATTATGAAGTCGGAATGTACACTTTCTGGGGTCAAACAACATTGTGAAGTGGACTGAATTCATCTAACTTTGTGTTTTCTAAACCTATTGGACAAACAAATCTCAAAATATATGTAAATTTTGTTGGCTTAAAGTTAAACTGTAGCTTGCAAGTAATTCGCTCGAGTTAGACAATAAATCCAACATGGCACCTGTCTTTTTACATTCATACCTTAAAGCGCATATAACGTGGTTTTGGACCTAACAGGAAACATGTTCTTTAAGATGACAGTACATAATGCCACAAAATAGTAATACTTAGACATTTATGTTCAAAATCCACTAATACATTTGTATCTCTTGCTTTCACCGGCCATGATTCTGGCTGGCTGGTTTCAACGTTGAACTTTGCACAGATATACAGCAGTTCGAGTTGCCATACTCCATGTAGCACACAAAGCAAGAGAAGAGTAAAGAGAGATAATAAACAGAGATATAAGGCAAGAAGAATAGTAATATGAAAGAACAATATAATCTTATTGGATATGATAAATCACAGAGTGGACGCATCTGCGCCGGTCGTTGAGCAAGATTTCCACCCACATCACCGATTGTCTCCAATCTTCATTGGTCCTTACCATCCCGAGGACCCCAACCAGTCAGGAACTCTACACTTCCCGACGTGACTTGCTTAAACTAACTGTTATAGATTTCATTGACTGACGAAGCCATATTTTGGTTTGACCACCACTAGATCTTTTCCAACCTGATCCATTCTATGTCAGCAAACATTGCCCATCGAGGATGGCGATGGCTAGATATGCATGCGTAGCACATGTCCTAACCATCTCAATCGGTGTAACTTCACAACCTCGTCAATTGATTTCCACTCCTTACCTAGCACTCGACGCCTAACCCCAGTATTGCTCACCTTATTATACCCCTTAACACAGAAGATATAACGCAGACACCCATGATCAAAGACAACTAGCTGGCCTTTTCATGTCTCCCACTTTCAATGGCCAGGTCTCACCCAGTCATAAAGGAGGACTGCTGGGCAGCACTCACGTCGTTTAGTCGACAGCCGGATATCGCGTCTACGCCAGAGACGGCGTAAACTGGCATGTGCGAAACGAGCCTTCTGTATCCGTGCTGAGATTTCGTCAGCGATCAACTTGTCAGCACTGACGCAGCTTCCCAAATAAATGAATTGGCCAACACGCTCCACCACTTCACTCTCTTTAAGCTAGGAGTCGATGTAGCCCAGTCCTGTAGCATCACCTTACATTTGACGGCAGCGAATCGCATGCCAAACATTCGAAAATTGCTACTTAGTTCAAGGTGTTCGGAAGACTCTGCTCTATTTTGTCAGCATCTTCGCCTAGAAGGACTATCTCATCTGCATATTCTAAGTCAGCGAGATTATTCCCTGCTAGCAAGTCAATCCCTGAGTCGCTGAAGTCAGTAGTTCGGGTTAATTCCACTAGCACATCCATGATGAAATTAAGCAGAAATGGGGACAGTGGGCACCAATTCAGATGACAACTCTTCGTAATTTATTATCTGGCTGCATGAGTTCGAATAGAGTGCCTTGATCAGTGCAATGTATTTCCTCAGTATTCCCTTCACAGCCAAACATCGCCAGAGTACCTCTCGGTCGACAGAATCGAACGCCGCCTTTCGGTCAAGAAATATAACGATTATTGGACGCCGGTAAGTATGCCTATGTTACAGGATCTGTCGAAGGGTGAAGGAATGATCGATGAACTCTTTTTCTGGTCTAAAGCCTATCTGGCCCTCTTGTGTTTGTTCCTCCTGAGTGCTGCCTAGTCTCCGCATGATTATTGAGCCTAGAACTTTAGATATCATATTTGTGAAGCTAATCTACCTGTGATTATCACAGGAAGACTTGTCTCTTTTCTTGTAAATCGGGATAATCAATGACTAACACCAGCCCGACGGGACTTCCTCTGATACCCAGACGCTGCCTATTACCCTTGTTAACGCAGACAGTAAACCGTCCATGAACACCTCTGGAGTTATTCCATCGACTCCTGCTGCTTTGATCTATCTCGGACTAGTGACAGTTTTCACAACCTCAGTTAGTGACGGAGGACCGGTGTCTATATCTCATTCAGGGAGGTGCTGGAAAAGTTGAGCGTGGCTATAAGTATATTAAATTGTTCTTTCCAACGTTCCAGTTGTCTATCCTGAGGGCTAATTATGGTGCCATTTTTAGCTATTTATTATCACTTATCGTTCAGCTATTCTACTCCCTATTCTTAAACTAGGAACCAGTGCTGCAGCTTAATCATGCACTTGGTAGGAGTGAATTGGATGTCGAACATACTAAGATTTTCGCTTGGATTTAGGATTTTATTGACAGCATCTTCGCTTACATCATTTGTACTCTAAATCAGAAAGACTTTCTCCTCCTAACAGATCACTTCTACAAACACCAAAGTCCACCCAGGTCGCATTCATCAGTACTTCTACGGTTAAATTAAATAAATATAGTGACAGCAGACATTTCTAGCTAACCTCCAGTTGCCGTCTTCTCTAATCCTTCGTATGCTTTCAACCCGCTGCACGGATCCGAGTAGCGTTCCGATTAGCACAATGTGGTTTCTCCGCACATAAAGCCAAAAGAGCATAGGTAGGATTTAAGATGGTGTACTAATCCAATACACAAGACTGCAGTAGAAACACCACATAATTAACGTCATAAGCGAGCAAGCCAGCGACAGGATGGACAAAGAGTCATATGTTTTGTGTGGTAATAAACCATCCTACTTACTGTGGGGAAGGTTGTGTCAATATGACTTAGTACGGCAACCAACGATTTTCCAAAATACAAAGTCGTAAATAACTGTTCGGTGTAAAGGGAAAAGACTTCTTGTTACTTCACGCCATAGCATTCCTAACGGTAGTTGGCCTTCTACCTATCAGGCGAACTGACAGTGATGATTGTGTTTTAAAGCTTTGTCAGGAAAATATCTTACTCCTAGAGTCTTTTAAATGTGAACATAATGAAAGAAGTCATCTCACTCAGTGATCGTCGGCATCCCGCCAACGACTGACACTTAAGAGACTATTTTGTTGTAAGTTATCTGTGGGAATAGAGGTTATAAGGCCACATAGACTTTTGTAGTCCCATGGGAAGTGACGGATTCTCAACGTTGCACATAGTGTCAGAACCTTGATACTTTTCGCAACGACCCTGGGTACTAGAGGGTGGGCTAAGCATAGAACTTGCCACCACTCAAAAGCACGCGTATACTATGTGACGAACTTTAGAAAGGCCACAAGATGTGTACAGAAGGACATTTGCAACTACGATATGTCAGAACGCTGTTATGCACACTCCGAGGGCAGTTAGACTGACCTCCAGCAAACAAAAATGTTCAAGACTTGTCTGTAAACTAAATTAACTGAAGTATTAGTTGGTGAATATGAATTCAAACCTCCCACATGAGACTGGTGTGAATATGTAATCGTCTCAGATCTCATTTATCAGGATTAACTACATTGGGTCCCCATCCATACAAACTGTAGTACCGAAAGCCCAACCAGCTCCAAATACCGAACGACGAAACATCCGAGCATTACTCCTAACAGCTTCGTGTTACAGCCACACTCAGTGGTACCCAATAAGTCTTAGGTTTATTGACTTAGAATCAAGACTCCACCCCTATCAATCGAGAAGTGTTGCGGTACTGTTCACCTGTGTACCACACACCTCTTGAAATGCTCCCTTATGACCGGGCGTCTTACATAACCTCTCCTGAGGAAGTCCTACTCACTGCCTTCACGTGGCGGAGGTGTTTTTCACCAAAGTGAGAGGGCGAAAGCGGATGCCCGGCGCTCTTCACCGGGTTGACTGTCCATTGGATGACAGTCTAGGGGAGATGGCTAAACCCTGATTCCAAACCTCCAACGACTGGCGTATGAAGCTCACTGGAGCTCACCGGCAGACGTATGGACAAAGGGCTTGTTGGATGTCTGGCCTCATTCAAAAAGGCGTATGAACCGAACTCTGGTCACCGGCTGCCAATGGAGAGTGGACTCCCTACTCCACTCCTACTGCCTTGTAGGTCACACTTGGTTGTGTAAAGGCTAGAGCTGCACTCTCAAGCAAAAGGCCGAGCGATTCTGGGGACATCACTCGTACCAAATTCCCATGAAACTTCATGAACTCTCTTGCATCAAATCGCCGCGCCTGGGCAGCGATGATTTGAGATGTTCATGAAGCCGGCTCATCCTCCCGTAGGAGATAGCCGAAGTAAAG